GCCGCCGCCCCCACCTCTCCTGAACCACAAAATATTCACCTCGTATGTTCCGACAGGATAGAGCCCGGGCAAACCAGGTATGTGACACATTTTCACAGGATATTGGGGCCTTCGCCCTCTTATACCTCTTTCAGGATTGGTTGCCCCCCCCCCCCATCCCGCCAGTCCGCAAAATCTTCACCCCGTATGTTCCGGCAGGAGAGAGCCCAGACCAAGGTCTATTTAAGTACTTATATAGACCTTGCCCAGACCCAAGCACAGTTTTAACCACATCTTACCTAATTCCAGCCGGCCCAGGCTGCGGGTCACTGGGATCGTCGGGGTATTCCAGGCCGTTGTTGGCGGGAATTGCGATCGCTTACAATAAAGTTAAACTGCTTTCTTCGTTTTGCTTTTGTGACCCTTTTCCATGCACCACAAGCCCGCTGGTGTCTGTCATTTCCGTAATGGCACGGTGAAGTCGATGAAGTCGAAGTAGTTATTCTCACGCCCTACACACTGTCTAGCCAGGATAAAACTGATTTGAATTTCAACTGCCTTCTCCTTGGCCAAGCATCTATTGTCACGTGATGATCTATTCCATATCTGATTGGTTCTATTGGGTGTCTATGTTCACGTCACGCTCACGCACGAATCTAATTGGCTCATTTGATTTTCCGCGCATGCGTCATCCGCTATAATTCTGTCGGATTTTCCAACGCTCTTAACGACTTTTTGTCATTTTATCGCGGCGCTGATGGCGTAAGGTTACTGCGGCTCCTGGAAATCGTAGATTTTATACCCCATAACTCTTATTATCAATTTGCACAGAAAATGGTATAGAAGAAAACTTTCATAGAATTATTATGTGTTCTATCACTTTGTAAGCTCAGATTATTTAAATTAGGTGTGAGATTACATTTCCAATAACACCAAAATCACCATATTATGTCAAGGAAATGATCTATAAAGATAAATCTAAAATGTGTTGCATAATTTTTCCCGCAGTGTTACTCGTCTCACCTAATTATCATGTCAATGATGTCGTCGAGACCGTAGTCATTGACAAGGAGTTTGGCGATTAGCGTTCTCTCAGGAACCCCTTCCTTCACTTGTGCTGTAGTCATCGATGAAGAATGGTGTCTCATCATTCGTATTATCGATGTTGATAGTGAAGATAGCTGGCAGAGAATGGAAATTGTTTAATGTTAGGAACACTAGAGATTCTTTATCAAGTATTTAGTATAATGAGTATAAATGAAAATCATAATTAGGCATTGGTAAGGTCCTTGAACCATCAACATGTTCACGCCGAAACAGTCGAAATAATATTACTTTATTATACATACATTTCTTTATTATGCATTAGTTGTTCTGACCATATTTCATGGATCCACACTGGATATCACGCTTTACCTCACTAATTCTCGATTCTTCACACATTATTGTGATTGATTACCAGAAACTCATTAACTTTACCATTATCTTAAACATAGGGTGAATAGGTAAAACTGCTAATTAATTTTCTAAATTATTTATCCTTATATATAATGTTTATTTAACAAGTACCCGTAGATCATTTGACATAGAGAAACCAACGATATTGCTTGAAGAACAAAGATACAAGATATTACTCATTAGTCCTATTATTAAAATCGATTTCTCATCAGTGCCCGCACCTGAAAATAGCCGCCGCATCGATTTTTTCTAAAATGTTCGACAAGAATGTGCCAAAACAGTCCACCATTTGTCCAGAAATTTGAAATTTGTTCGCTTTCACTCGGGCAAAATGCACCGTGTGTTGCGCGCTAAAATAAAGTGAACGGTCGACCTGACAAAACGTTTTGGAAGTGTTGCTGGCGAACCTGTGGCCCATTTGTAAACCAAAATGGCCGCCACTTTGAACCTTAAAAGTATCTCTCCGAACAGCAACACGTTTCAATTTACCTTTCTATCTTTGTTAGTCACTAAAATGGAAAATATGTACCTGTGGCACCAGTGCGTCTTGCACTGAAGAGTCACCAATGATGGAATCTGTCGAGCCGTAAAACTAGCAAAAATATATTGAAAAATAACGGTATCAAATAATCGATCAAAAATAACCTTACAGCTTTGAAGATATTTAATTAATGATTACTTTTTATTAAGTAAACTTCTTTCGCAAATGAATAATAAAGAAGCTATTTAATTATCAAAATATTTTAAAACTATTAAATGGAGGCGAGATTCACATGATCGCTGAGGGAATATTGACTAAATTCTCCTCTGCACATATGTGATGGCTTTCGTACCCGTACTGTTCATGATTTCATGTGACGTCAGGCCAGTGTCGCGATTTAATTGGCTAATTGTTTGGCGGTTAATTTAATATCTAACAGGGAAACAAAGCACGAGGAAACAGACAGTGATTGAATAGTAACTAAAATAGAAGCTACGACATTCAATTTCAGAATTTGTTCCGCCATGTGTGCAGGGTGTATCAAAACATGGTCATAAAAATTATTTTGAAGACGACGAGGCTAGCTTGAAACTATTACGTGAACACGGAGTGCTACCCTCTGAAGAGCCTTGCACTTCAGAATGCAAAGCACTCTGAGCAACCAGCCATCACCCATCAATCCTGCTCACGCAACCTCTCTGACGCTCTCGCAAGCCATTCCGTGTTATCGCCGATCCTCAGCCTAGTCCCTTCTCTGCATAGGTATGTTTTAAGGCTTATTTTCATGAAAGTAACTATACATATGGTACTTCGCCTGCGCACGAACATGTGGAAGCGCCTGGCCCGTAGCCACGAAAGGTCTCAGACATTTCTGAGACTAAAAGCATCTTTTCCAGCGGGTCTCAGATATTTCTGAGACTAAAAGCATTTTTTCCAGCGGTTACGGGAAACGCGACACCTCTTGGGCGACAGGAATCGAGCAGACGGTTAACTTTAATAGAGTTGCCAGATGCATTCCTTCTGCTTCAGATATTTCATGCATATTCGTACTTGTATTCGCAACACCCTAATTGCCATCGGAAAAGATGCCTCATCTCCCCCCCCCCCCCTGTTTGGAGCATGGGAAACATTCAACTACTTCGATAAGTCTCGAATTCCATGTACGTCATACAATGCTTTTAAAATTCTCATAATTGAACTGCCATGTCGTATTCATGCTAGGGCTTTATAACTAGGATGATTTTCTACTGATATTGCCATCCACAGTTCTCCATTTCTTCAAAAATTTAATAAAAAAAAGGGAGGGTATGTGGTTTAGATTAGTTGTCTCTATGGTTAAATGCATTTATTAAACTTTTCAGATAGAAATATCTACTTTTATATCCAAAGAAGGTAAACAAAGCAACGAGACATACCTTTACAGAATATTGTCCCTTTGAAAATGATAATTCCGATTGACTTGGTAATCGTTGCGTTGCAAAGTACAGTAAATAAACTATATTATATATATATATATATATATATATATTATATATATATATATATATATATATATACATAAAACATGATTAGATTTAGCGAAAAAATAATAAGGACAACAAACATTGGCAAGTGTCCAAAATATAAAATGCCATATCTCTGTGCTTTAGGCATCTTTTCCGGTGGCAATTAGGGTGTCGCGAGACGCTACGCGACACCAAAAGCTATCTCGTGATCGGAGGCGAGACAGGCCTATAAGCTCCGCCCATTTCTGTGACGTAATGGGAATGGCGGCTGTTGACGGCTTCATATTTTACTGTACTGGTTATTTTTCCAACAGGTACATAGTATTTTGGAATATGATGTCCAAGACGGCTTTTGATATCTTATGGTGGGTAGTGCGGTGTTATAGATATCCAATATAAGTGCGAATATGCATGGAATATCCGAAGTAGGAGGAATGCATCTGGCAACTTGATTAAAGTTAACCGTCTGCTCGATTCCTGTCGCGCAAGAGGTGTCGCGTTTCCCGTAACCGCTGGAAAAGATGCCTTTTGTTTACACAAGCTTTGGGTACATCATAACTCTCGTAATTTTCTTGTGATTCAAACGCAATTTGTTGTTTTCGCTAGAGCATCGGAATTCTGAGGCCGTGTCGATAGCCATTTCTTGAATTTTGGAAAAGATCGAAAAATATAGATTACGTAACAATAGATCTAACACAAGTATTTTTGGGGGATTGCTCAGGGAAAAAAAAAACTGTGGCAGTTATGATGTACCAGTCAATAAAAAAAAAATGGGGGGGGGCCTTCCCCTTCCCCTATGGGAGACAAGGTTAAAATTATATATAAGATGAAGCGCAGTTATGTACTCTATATTATGCAAAAACAATCGGTGAGTTATCTCGTTGACATTTTTTTATGATGCAATGAGTAGAGAAAAGTAGGCATTTCCAGGGACTGTCCCCTTAATATACAAAAATTTCCAGTTTGCTGGTAGGGTTATCTCAAAATTGCCTTTTCTGGACATTTGCACTCCAAGCACTCCACTATAGGATTGTCCTTACACATAATGGATCCACAACTGCTTAATCACCAATGAGTCAATTACTTGGCCTGTGTTCACACCTGTTTACCCTTTTGCTTGATTTTCAGAATGATTTTTTTTCATTAATAACATTATAATAATCAGAATATCAGTAATGATAATAATGGTAACACTATCAATATTAATAACATAAAAAAATATCCAAGAATATCATGATCAACTCTGATGACTGTTTGTGGAGCCGGAGCCATCTGTGTAAACACAAATCACAAAACAAGACTACGTTGAACATTACATATTAAAACATGAACAAATAGTACCAATCAGACAGATATTAGTGTGTCTGACCCTCTCACTGACTTAGCCTATCATTGTATCTTTCTTTGTCTGTCTCAGTCTTTTTCTGTCTCCATATAAATTTGTATTTTTGATAATTTTGCCACTGTTTCTTAGTTTTTCATCTTCATTTCAGATATAGTCTAGGTTGTTTTAGCATCATATATTTTTAAATATGTTCCTTACCACAAATGCAGTCCCAGATGGCCGGCCTCAACAT